CAAACTCATTTTTAGCAATTCTAGACCACGTAGGCAAAACTAGACCACCATTGAACTTCCCGTGACGATATGCATCGAATCGATACCATTTCATGCAAAAATATCAACTTTGAAATTTGACCTAATTTGACCTGACCATGACCTGACCTTCACCAGAACATAATCTTAACTGGCCCCAAAGGCTGCTTGACCGACAAAATTGCATTGGCATATATAATGGACCATAAACATGCATCACAGGACATTTTCATATTGTGACCCTCATGGTGACCTGACGTCTTCTGAGACCTGACCTGGTAGCAGTGACCTCAGATAGCAAAATATGTGTTTGACGAACAATTCCCCAACGATAACTGAATGCATTTTGCTCGATTTTACAACGCATTTCTTGAAATGCCTGTAAACGGTGAAATTGACATTTGACCTGACCTGTGACGCCATCGGTTTGACCTAGGTCAATGAAATTAGGTTACAAGGTAGTTCCCTGTTGGGGCTATCCAACACCGTTTGCTGCTTGTCACTATGATGCGTGGTTCTCGAGATCTTAGGGGGGGGGGGGCAAATTGTCCCCCCTCCCAACAGGGCGCGTTGCTCGGCAGACTCCAACGAGGCGCGGGTTAACGTGTCCCGTTGACAGCGGGTGCTGACAGTGGCCGGTCACACCGATCATCTGAGGTCAACGCGCGCGTCCAACGGGGGCACACAAGGCCGGACGGTTTGCCGGTTGTGGTACGCCGTCGAAACGTTACCTACCTACCTATTACCAGTGTAACGCCTTTTGGGGCGACTAACTTGACCTGGTGACCTGACCGGACATGACCTGGGGTCAAAAATTTAACACATTGTCCAAAATTGATGTAGAGAAAGATACCCAAGCGGTGCGGCGCTACGCGCCGCGGTTTCTTATTCACACGCAAAAAAAAAAACGCGACAGAGTGGTACATATGCCCCCCCCCCCCACTGGGGCGAAGGTTAAAAATGCAATGACCTGCCTAGTCAATCAATCAGCAATGATAACATAGTCTGATCATACATCAATCGTTTGATGTCCTACCAACTGAGGTAACGGGCCCAAGAGGTCAGCTCAGGACAGAGAGAGTTCAGAACAGAGCACTGGCTATAGGTGCCGCCAGGAGCGCAGCTCGCTCGACCAGAGGCGGCGCCACCGGCCCGCAGCAGACCGTCAGCCGACTCTCGCTCCTATCGGGCACCACGCCAAGGTCAGCGGCGGACTCGCAGCGCGTTTCGTGTGCGATTACCAGCGCTACGGCTTTGGTCGCCCGGTTATCGGGCCGACCAGCGGCGCATGCGGCGGCCGCCAGCCGACGGTGTCGTGGGTGGGTGAGGTCATCGGGGCACGGCTGGCGCGGCCGAGAGGTGACGGCGGAGCGGTGCCATCCACGTTGTTGAGCGCCGTGGCCGTGAAGTGGCGTACTTCTCGTAGTGAATCAGCGTGGTGTTCCCGGACGCCGCCCACCAGACCCGGCCGCCGCCGGTCCTAGTCGGTGTCTGAGCGCCGCGCCGGCTCCCCTGCTGTTGCTGCTGCTGCTGCTCGCTGGACCGACCCTCGGTCTCGACTCGTGCCCGTCCGTTCAGACCAATCCCAGCGCCATGGAGCCGGTGGTCAACCACCAGGCGCAGGCGGCCTCCCGGCTGTACCGAGTGCTGGCAGAGGCGGCCGGCGACGACAACGTGTTCCTGTCGCCGTTCAGCATCGCCACCGCGCTGTCCATGGCCTTCGGCGGCGCCGGCGGCGACACGGCGCTCCAGCTGCGGCAGGCGCTGGCGCTGCCCGAGGACGCCGCGTCGCTCCACGACGGCTACGGCAAGGTGCTGGCCAAGCTGAACGACCCGCCGAACGTCACACTCAGCACCGCCAACAAGATGTACGTCCAGAACTCCTACAAGATACTGGACAGCTACCTCGAGCTCATGAAGAACCAGTACCTCAGCGAGCTGAAGAGCGTGGACTTTGCAGACGCGGCCGGCACAAGCAAACTGATCAATGATGACGTGGAGTCACTGACGAGAGGGAAAATCAAGGACTTGATCGATCCGAGTGCCCTGAACGCACTTGTGCGCCTGGTGCTGGTGAATGCCATCTACTTCAAGGGCTCGTGGCAAGAGAAGTTTGACAAGGAGGTGACGCAGAAGCAGGACTTTTTCGTCACTCCAGACAGCGCCGTGAAGACAGACATGATGTTCATGGACGGCAAGCGCTTCAACTGCGGCGTGCTCTCCGACCTCGGCTGCAAGGCTCTGGAGCTGCCGTACGAGGGCCGGCGGTTCAGCATGTTGCTGCTGCTGCCCGACAAGAAGGACGGACTGAAGGCTCTGGAGGAGAAGCTTGCCAACACACCGGTCCAGTGGCGCAGCCAGGGGGGGGTCAGAGGGTCAGCTGACCCCCCCGAAATTTCTATCAGGGGCCCGCTCGAGAGAGAGAGAGAGAGAGAGAGAGAGAGAGAGAGAGAGAGAGAGAGAGAGAGAGAGAGAGAGAGAGAGAGGAGAGAGAGAGAGAGAGAGAGAGAGAGAGAGAGAGAGAGAGAGAGAGAGAGAGAGAGAGAGAGAGAGAGAGAGAGAGAGAGAGAGAGAGAGAGAGAGAGAGAGAGATAGAGAGAGAGAGAGAGAGAGGATGTCCTAATCTAATCGGACGAGCCCGCTTCGAGAAATACATACCTACTGGGAGACACCATGGGCCCCCGGGAGAACGGGTCCGGGCCCCCTGGGTGGATGGGACCCGGGCCCCCGATGGATGGTGTCCGAGCCACCCGGTGGATGGGTCCGGGTCCCCGGGAGAACGGGCCCCGAGCCCCGGGTGGACGGGGCCCGGACCCCCGGGAGAACGGGTCCGGGCCCCCAGGTGGATGGGGCTCGGGACCCCCGGTGGATGGGCCCGGGCCCCCGGGAGAACGGGCCCGGGCCCCCTGGGTGGATGGGGCCCGGGCCCCGGGAGAACGGGCCCGGACCCTCAGGAGAACGGGCCCGGACCCTCAGGAGAACGGGCCCGGGCCCCCTGGGTGGATGGGGCCCGGGCCCCCGGGAGAACGGGTCCGGGCCCCCGGGAGAACGGGCCCGGGCCCCTAGGAGAACGGGCCCACGCCCGAGCCCCCGGGTGGATGGGGCCCGGGCCCCGGCAGAACGGACCCCGAGCCCTGGGTGGACGGGGCCCGGACCCCGGGTGGATCGGGCTCGGGCCCCCTGGTGAACGGACCCCGGAGCCCCGGGTGGACGGGCCCCGGAGCCCCGGGTGGACGGGCCCCGGAGCCTCGGGTGGACGTGGTCCTGGCCCCCGTGTGGATAGGGCCCGGGCCCTCGGGTAAATGGGGCCCGCTAGGGTGACCCGCTTGCTCCGCAACGCGAATAAGGGGTATTTTCGATCGGTGGGCGTTTGGCTGCTATTGTGTCCGTACTCCGTGGGTTATGTATCCGTTTCGGTCGATTGCCTTTTGACGGCTAAGTATTTTGGTTTGGGAAAAATATCCATCGCATCGAGGTGCTCGTGTCTGATAACCATGCGTTATTCTATAGAACATGCCAAGTGTATTTTATAACATAGGTTAAGGACGTAATTTATTAAGGACGTAAAGTTACCTATTGAAAAATGAAGGCCATCGATGAATTACTATGTAGAGGTTTGAAACATTTATATTTTTAAGAATATTGTTCCTCGTCATGCAAAAGCGATGATTGGATCTTGGACAAAATTGTATGCTCTTTTCATCTATGCCATTTTCAATAGTCAAACGTACCAGGTTATGCAGCAAAACCCGTGTGATTAAGTAAGTCATGAACAAATTATGCTAGTTTTGATCACAGATGATGTCTTTATACATTTAGGCGAGGTCGGGTCAGGTCAGGTAAGGTCAGGTCAACCAGTAGGGATCGTGACGGGTATTCGTAGTGCATACGTGTCAACCGCCTCTGACAGCTTCGTAACATGTTACGAAGGCACCAAAACTACTTCTTAAATGTTCAAATGGCTGCTAAATTCGAATTCAGCTAGCAAAAACTAGCCTAGAAACATGCATAGCTTGAGAAGTGTACTGAGGTCCTCATAGGTCAATGACCTGATCTGACCTTCAGGTGACATTGACATCCACCCTTATGCATGGGAGCAACATCAAATCACATGTTTGAACGCTTGAAACCGCGAAAGGACTGCAAACAGCTAATGCGAGCCGGCATACGCCGAACCGCAATTCTGGCCAAACATGGTCTCGGAAAGAAGGTCAAAGTTATTTGGGTCAGGATCATGAAAATTCTAGGATAGGTGTAAAATTGATCAACGCGAGGGTACTAAAAGTTACGTTGCGATCAGCCGCTTTTTATGCGAGTAATTCGCGAAAAAAAACTTTAGGGGGTTGCATCAACCCCATCCCCCCTGTGCCGGCGAGGGTTAAAACTTCTTGTGAGCGAATTCACGTAATGAAGAAGAATAAGGGCACAATCTACTACAGCAGCCAATAGGTGACTTAGGACAGGCACATGGAACTAGTATCTTGTCCGACAGAAGCAGGCAACAGTTCCGATTGCATATAGGTATGCTATGCATATTGCGGAAGGGGCACGTTTCGGCCTCGAAAGATACGAATTCTTACGTCATAGTAACATATTTCTGTCGTGGTCAATTTGCGTAAAGATTGAACACCGGGTGATTGCCGAGCTATTGTTCTATCCACATTTTCTTATTCAAACTCGCTCAGGGTTATCGTGCAGGTAAAGGGGGCCCGCTCAGCAGAATGTGTATGAAATATGGAGAGATTCTAAAAAATGGGTGGGGGCCCGCACACTAGGGGGCCCGCTTTGGAGGCGATGACCCCCCCGAAACAAAATCCTGGCTGCGCCACTGCACCGGTCCAGTCCATCATGCAGAAGCTGCACAGTGAAAAGACTACCATCAGCATCCCCAAGTTCAAGTTGGAGACGTCCTACAACCTCGAGGACCATCTGAAGAAGCTGGGCATCGTTGACTTGTTTGATTTCAACTCGGCGGACCTGTCCAAGATATCGGGCAACAATGACCTGTTTGTGTCCAAGGTAGTCCACAAGGCCTTCATTGAGGTCAACGAAGAAGGCACCGAGGCGGCCGCCGCCACGGGGATGGTCATGCAGTTAATGTGCTTTGTGCCTAACTTCGAGTTTTTTGCCAACCACCCGTTCTTCTTCGCTATCGTTGACAACGAGGTCGGTCTGGTTTTGTTCTCTGGCCGTTACGTCAAGCCCGAGTGAGCGGTGCACTGATGAAGATGAGCTGACGGTGCCTGATCTCCCGGTGTAATTTATCTCGCAGATCGCCGTCCTTTGTGGACGAAGTCGCGCTTAACTTAATGTCAGTCTTATTCTGTGATACACCACTATATGCATCTAATAAAAGGTCTGTAAAAGCTTTGCTGTGATATTTTTCTTTGTTATCACGTGTCGTCCTACGCGTGATGAAGTTGTTTCGCTTAATTGCTTCTTCTGTCGTACACCTACCTATGTAGGTAGGTAATAGCCGTTTTCACGACGGGCTATCCGGCGAATGCACCTGATTTGACCAAATCTGCACCTAATTTCTTTTACAGCAAATATCTTCATTTCATATGAATTTAGTTCAGTGTTTTAATCGATGATGCTCTCTGATAATATGACAAAGCAGGCATATAAGCAGTTAGAGCAGCCCTATCTGATAGCTGCTAAGAGACACACTGAACCTGATTTGACCAAAAATGCACCTAATCTGTACCAGATGTGCACCAAATGTGTACAGATGGCCGTCGTAAAAACGGCTATTATGTATATTGCTAAAAGGGGATATCCATAGGGGAAATCGCTTTCCGATGGCCAAGCTGATTGGAAAACTCATACAAAAAGTGGACACGTGAATTTTGAACTTGACCCTCCACTTGACCCTCCACAGAACTTGACCTGAGTGGTTGTTGTGTGACCGAACAGGAATCATTTGAACACGCTTACTTACGATTTTGTGGCGCTGCATTGCTGTTCGCCTCTCTTGCTTTTTTTCTGGTCTGCTTCATTGCATCTTTATAGACTAGGTGCATATGCATATGAGCACACGGTGCTAAACCTCGGGAACTGGGGGTAGCCGTGTCTCCTTGTACACACCTCCCTAAATGGTGCACGGAGCTCCGTCTGGCGGCAGACCCCAGACCCAGATGGCGCTCGGGTCTGATCTCCCCGATGTACCGGCACATGGACCGCACCGCTGCAGGTGTGGTCTGCACTAGTGGTGTCAATCGGAACTTGAATTTTCGGAATTCCGATTTTGTCCAATGTCTAATTCGGAATTCGGTTGGACAATGACAGCAGGCTTTGGACAACTTTGGACAATCGCTTGCTACACCTCAACATTTTTATAAAGTAATCGTGTTTAACATTGATTGGCTTTAAGAAAACTCAGCTTTCGATATGATAACACTTTTGAGCTGGTAATGGTACATTAAAAGCAAATTAAATAACAGTGTTGAGTGTAGTAAATATTGCGTAGGTGTCGGGCATCTTTGGACAAATGGCTGGCTTGGATATTTTTGGACGGACAGTCGACGTAAGTATTGGACATTGGACGGACATCGGACACACGTTTTCTGAAATTGACAGCACTAGTCTGCACCCTCATTTGTCGGCCCACATACAAACGCTGCGGTTCTGCTACCGCACCCGACCCGAACGGACAGCGCCGTTCGGGTCGGGTCTATTGGACTCGGTCTCTCGGTCTCGGTCACTCGGTCTATTGAACGCTGCTAGATCAGTGGATGAGATTAATAGTTAATTACTCTGGAGGATCGTCACATGGATCAGTGGCGTTGTCTGATATTATTTAGGGACCGACAGGTGCGAAGGCTTCCCTTGTGTGGTCCGATGCTATTTAAGGACCACCAGACCCGAAGGCTACTCTACTACGGTCCGGTGCCATACATGGTAACTGGCAGACCCCAGGGCGGCTCGTGTGGTCCAGTGCCTTACATGCAGTGACAGCCGGACTATACTGTTCTGCTCTAGTGTGGGGTCCATTGCGGGACCTCCAGACCCCAGGCTGCTCTAGTGTATGATTTGGTGACGTTAGAGCTCGGTGAAAATTGACTGGCCGTTCAGCGATCCCACAACTAGCCACCACTGAGCTCTCAAAGGATTGGAAATGAAATGTGTCGTCTCGTATCGAAGTTATTTTATTTAAAGTCATTGAAATGCATTCATTCATAAGTTGTTAGTAAACATGGAAGTTGTTCATTGAGTAACAATGCAAGACCTTGGGTTCTCTCTCAAGGCTCGCCCCTTGAATACTTCTCAATACGTTCCACACACTAACCGTGGTCGATAAAGCTGTGTAAAAACTGCTGCAGTAACAGGTGTTCCGTCAGGTACGCGGCGTACCCCCGAGCACCGCAATCTATAACAGTGCACTATGACGGAGCCGTGCCCGGCACTGCAGCGGCCCGCGGCCCGACACCACTGGGAGCTAGCGGCGGAGCAGCCGGGCGGCTGACCGGCACCGGCTGGCTGTCCAGGTGCTCCCCTACCCGGCGCCGGCTGGGTGTCCAGGTGCTCCCCTACCCGGCACCGGCTAGCTGTCCAGGTGCTCCCCTATCTTGTTGTTGAAGGAGTCCATCAGCTTGCGGTAGGCGGCAGCGGCGTTAGGCGTCAGAGAGTCTCCCAGAGTTTCCGTCAGGTAGTCCAGGAAGACGACGGTGAATTTCTGCAGAAACAGACGAAGACACTGTTCATTTGCACAGCCTACCGGAATATAATGGCACATTTGAGGGTTTCTGACTGTACAATTCGCAACGAGATTGTGCAGCATTTTTGCGGAAGTGACACCGGCTGCACTCATTCCGTTGGGTGATGTGTGTAGCGCAGTAGTTCTTGGGCTCTACGAATGTGTGAAAGACGTTATTTGTCATAATGACATATGACCTTGTGTACAGAATGATCCATCAATTTGTCGGCATTGTTAGCTTATAAGTGGCGACGGTGGGGGGAACGCGTCGCGGCGCCGTCTTGAATTACGAGACAGCTGGAAGTAGACGCATGGATTCCATGGGCCCAGTGTTATTTTCGCAAGGATAAAAAATGGACCTATTCTTTAGCGACATAGGCTTTGTGTTTTCAGTTTTATTTAGCTTTATTTTGTTGCAATTTTCAACATTTTTTTTTCTCTCAAAAGAATTGATGTGAGCGGTATTTTGGTTGGCCGCTCTCCTTCCGTAATGTGATCTAAGAGTCCATCGCCGTCGACAGTCGGTAAGTGGCGCGGACCGACACGGCGGGGCTCACCTGGAAGTCACCGGGCGTGACGCCGCGCCGGTTGTGACTGTCCCCCAGCAGGAAGATGGTCTCGTCCACCATTTCGGCGTCCTCCAGGCTGGCGATCACCGAGCCCAGCGAGACGAGCACGCGGCCGGCGTGCGCGCGCACCCGCGCCGACTGGCGCATCGCCTCGGCACTGCTCGTGTTCAGACGCTTGAACTTTGCCTTGGTCTCCGGGAAACGGTCGAACAGTCTGCAGAGAAACACATTCAGCTATTACGTATGTTAATTTTTCAATTGATGAGTTTTTGACGATTGATGAGAAGATTCAATTGACGATTGATGATGAGCACGTCGAGACGACACATTCAAAAGAATAACAAGACTGTACATCGTGCATGGGGGATAAAACGTCCTAAAGAGGCGCTGCAGAGCACGGGTAACCACGCTTGCCACGCTGGCGTTTTATTTATACTGAACAGAGACCCCAAGTCGCATGACCAGTCGGAAAATGTAATGGTATCACGTTTGGCCCGGGGGGAGTGTCCCTGGCGCCCAGGGCCACCCTGCCACCCCTCCGCTCACTCATTGGGCCATGAGAAAAGTCGTGGTGCGCGGCTGTTCGGCGGGGTGGAGGGTGCAAGTCACTGCGGCGGCCGGAGGGGCGGGCACCATCGATCATAGCGCGGAGGAGGCCGTCTGGGGAGGAGCCCAGTGGCGGCCGACAGCCGCGCGCCGCCCGGCCGGCCCGGCGGTTTATCTGGCGTGGCGTCACCGCTGTCGGCGCCTCAGATCTGCGAGATTGGGCCGCGGCGCGGCGCGCTGGGCCAGCCAGCGCCGATACGGCCAGTGGGCGGCCCACCCTCAGAACAAACGGCTCAGGAGCACCAACGCACACCGCCGAGTGGCGTCTGAGACGGCCACCACCCCGTCCTCCGCGCCGCCAACACACTGCCGCCGGCGTCACCAGGCTGCCGACGCAGCCAAAGGGCTGTGTAATCAGCCAGAGAGCTGCCGACGGAGCCAATGGGCTGCGCAATGGGAAAACGAGACGAAAAATGGGCCAAAGCCAAAGCCAAAGGGATGCGTAATGAGCCAAACGGCTGCCGCTGGAGCCAAATGATTGCGTAATAAGCCAATAAGATGTCGGATGGATCCAGTCCATTCATTCATTCATTCATTCATTCATTCATTCATTCATTCATTCATTCATTCATTCATTCATTCATTCATTCATTCATTCGTTCATTCATTCATTCATTCATTCATTCATTCATTCATTCATTCATCCATTCATTCATTCATTCATTCATTCATTCATTCATTCATTCATTCATTCATTCATTCATTCATTCATTCGTTCGTTCGTTCGTTCGTTCGTTCGTTCGTTCGTTCGTTCGTTCGTTCGTTCGTTCGTTCATTCATTCATTCATTCATTCATTCATTCATTCATTCATTCATTAATAAGAAATATGAGGGTGCCTTACACACATACACAGAGATGTAACAGGACCGAGCTTAATTTGTATTCTGTTAACATCAAAACTCACAGGCTGTACATATGCCCAATATTACCACTGACCTAGCAGTGACGTAAACTGAGCTCACCTGATGAGCACTTCGACTCCATGCTGCACTTTGTCGGGCTCGACCAGGGTCCAGACGGAGCGGATCGCCTGCAGGTCCGCGTCACTCAGTCTGCCGACACGAGACGGAGACAGCCAGTCAGGCATACCCATGCACAATACACATCACATAGGTACCTATACAGTACACCTACCCAGCAGGCCCGCATCGCTCGTCTGCTGACATAAGGTGGACAGAGTGATACCTATACACATTACACAGTGACACATTTCGCATGACTGCCGAAAAGAGACGCACATACTCAACCATATCTACCCATACACAATACATACTATACACATAGGATGCAGGTCCGCGCCATTCAGTATGCCGATACGAAACGGATCAATTATAAAGCCATTACCTACCATACACAATTTACAAAATACAAATCATACCAACACAAAAGCCCTCCAAAAAGGAAAAGCCGTGAGCCAAACCACAAAGGTGTGCTGACTACACATCATGTGATCAGCACCGT